AATGAGACAGTTCCTCAGACCTCAGTTACATGACTGTTAGCTGCTAACACAGTGAGGTACCCACGGCTGGGAGGCCAAGGGCTCCCCACTCCAAATACCACTTCTGTAGATGCCGAGAAACAAGAAGTAGGATGCAGCTGGTGCTCCCAGCTGAATGTCCACTTTTTAAGTCTGGGATGCCACGAACCCAACATCAGGGAGCCTTTCCCTGATGTCAGGCTCACAGTGTCCTGAACCTTTAAAACATAGGTGTATGGCCGAGAGCCCCAGCTGCATGCCCACCCACTTCTTTAAGTTCCCTAAGCACTGGGGAAAGGTGCATAGTCCCCCGCCATGTTGAAGCATTTAAATTGCCGCTCAGCAGAAACAGCTGGGAATGTGGGAGCTTCCCATCCCCTGCTGCTCATGCCAGGCACTTCTTTAAAACAGCAAACGCAGCAGGGGATGGGAGAAACTCCCCTGACCCTAGCTCTGCACCTATTTTTAAAGATGCACCGAGCAGCCTCTGTGGATCAAGCAGGCAGCCCCCAGCCTGATCTCATCAGTTAGGAAGGGAGTGGCTTTGCCCAAGATCCTAGGGCTGCTGGCTCAGCTGAGCACATGGGATTTGGCACTGGGCGGACAGTACAGATTGGGACCCAGGCTGTCATTTATTCAGTTCTGGGGATCAGGCAGGGGAGGGCTGTGTACCAGATCCTGGAGCTGCCCCATACCTTGATGCTCACCAGGACCTAGCACCTTAAAAAGCCTTAAAAAGTAAGTGCTGCAGGGCAAGGATTTTTAAGGCAGCAGGCCCTGGGCAAGTCCACACATTGATGCTGACAATACATTCGACAAAAGTGTGATATGTTGCTATTTCTGACATGATTAACATGTTAATCATGACAGAAACACAATGTATGCCTGGGGACCTAAAACTTACCTGCAGCAAGCTTAAATCTCCAGTATCTAACCCAGTGATTCTCAACCAGGGTGCCACAGCACACTGAGGTGTGCTAAAATCCTTTCAACGGTATAGTAGGGTGCTGCACAACATTAGCACTGTTATGTGGGCAAACACAATTCACAAGCTCAACCCAGAGATTTTAAATAGGAATCCACAGAGGTAAAAACATTGTGTCCTGTTGTGGTTTTTCTGAGTTCTCTGCAACAGAAAATATGTTCTATTAATTTCCTGTAATTAAAAAAAGAAGAATGAAAACTACAATACTGTATGGCATTCTGAGGAGTGCCTTGAGTCTAAAAAAGTTGAGAACCAGTGATCTAACCAAACAGTACAGTTTGGTAGTGCGCAGGACAACCCTCTTACAACAAATATTTAAAAGGTAAATTAAAAACTGTTACTGGCATTTATAGTAACTATTAACCTTCAAGGTATGATGTACACAGTCATTGTAGATTATGGATATGTTCATGCCCAATGCATTAAAGCCCAAGATTTTAAAAAAATACTTTAAAAATACTGTTGGCGTTAAGCATAAGCCCTGCATGTCTTTGCAACTGTATTACAGGGTACAGAAAAGAATGGTTAGCCACCTTCTGTTCAGTTCCTTCAAACTAAAATGTTCATGTTTCTTAAGAGGTAGGGATGAAGGAGGCTGTGAAAATTTAAGGGCACAATGCTATCTGGAGAACAACTACTGGTAAGTAAGTAGCTGGGTTACAATGTTGTAGCAGTGGTGATCCAGGAAATGTACAAGAGGTGAGGGTTGTTTTGAGATCTTTTATTAGACCTACTATACATTTGGAAGATAAGTCTGAATGAGAGCTGAGAAACCAGAGTTTGTGCCCAAAAGCTAATCTAACTTCTCTTTCAGCTATAAAATGGTCATAAAAAAGATATCACGGAAGAACCCTTGCCTCCTGCAAGGTAAGTAAGCATTCATTTTCCCTCAAAAATTGTGCAAATAACCATTCTGGCAACTATGAAGCAGTTGTTCATAAAGGTGATGAAGCGTCTAGCAGCACATCAGGAAGGCAGGGTTGGCTTGCTGAAGTCCTTATCAGAATCAGAGGCATGGACTACTCTTATTACATTTAAAAAACATACTGTGTTAAGTCCGATACACTAAATCAGTGATTCTCAATTGTGGTGCCACAACACCCCAGGGTACTGCAAGAACCTAGCAGAGGTGCCACAATGCCATCACTACCAGTGCTGTGGGGCGAAATTGCCTGCCTCACGTGCCTCTGTTTTCAGAAGGCAAGTCAGAGCAAAGCTGAGAAGCAGCTGCAGCAGACATGGCATACTTACCTACATTCATGCTTACCTTCATCAAGCCACCTGACGAGCTGTTTCTGCTGCAGCTTTCCCAGTTCGGCTCTGATGTGCCTTCTAAAAACACAGGCACGCAGGACAGTTCTACTTGGTGGGCCGGCATTTATCTCTAGGCTGCTCCATTTTCAAAAAGCACATCAGCACCAAACCTGAAAGAACTGCAGCAGAAACAGTGTGCCTGCCTACATAATGTAATACAGGCAGGTGCGGCTTTCTCTTGCAGCTGCTTCTCAGTTTGGTTCCAGCCTGTTTCCTGAACACAGACACATGGGACAGGACATCTGGCCCTGAACACCACTGTTTCTAGGGGACACCATGCAGAGTTGGACTGGGAAAGGCTGTGGTGAAACCACCTGCTCCTGCCACAGCTCCTTCCTGATCTGGCTGTGCAGGAGGCAGACAGCACAATGAGATAAAAATAATTATAAAAATCAATTTGTTAGTAATTGATTAGACATTATAAAATATATTTAAGACAATTTCTTAAATAGGGTGCTGCTAAGTTGTGAAAAATTCTGGAGATCTGCCTTGCATCTAAAAAGTTTTAGAACCACTGCCCTGATGGATGCCACAAAGCAGGCACAAAACTACTCTGCTTGCAGCACTGCAATACACACACACTCCTGCTGCATTAGGGCATCCAATAATCCTAAACCAGATAGCAGCTGGAGGAGCTGGCTCAAGCTATAGCTCTTCCTGGTCCACACCTGGTCCGGAGGCAAGTGGAACAGTTCCAGCTGTATGCCCCTGTTCTAGTTGAGAAATACTGAGTTATGCTGAGGTAGCACCAGAAGTGGTTCTCAGGGGATGCTGCCACATTCAAAAAAGAATGGAGAAAGGGTCCTCTGCCTCTGAAAAGGTTGACAGACACTATTCTAAATTGCCCAACTCAGCCTATAACACAGAATGGTTGCATGTTAAATTCTTGCTACCTTATTAAAAAAAAATAGTTCAAACAAAAATTCCTAGATAAAAACTAAGGATTGTGTCCAGATTATACATGGTAAGAAAAGGGACCATAGGTCAAATGGATCAAAATTAGGGGTGCTGGAAGATATGCTTAACCGGTGGACAAAATAATGAGAAGACTCCACCCACCACACCTTTTCTCTGGGTCCTTGATACTTATGCCAAGGGAATGTATAGGCTGAAAAGAGACAACTTCCCCATTAGCTGTAGAGACATGGGTTGGCAGCTGTAAAGGGATAAGGAATAAGCAGTGTAATTAATATGAGAGCTTGCCTTTACATTTCAGTTTTTTAAACATACTGAAGTCATCATTTCAGACAGTTCCTGATAATGCCCTCTGCAGCACTTCACAGGTAGTGCTGGAGTACTGACAGTGCATATGCACTACATCTTTTCAAGATATCAGAAAGATTTCTTAGTCAGATCATTTGATTTATCGACAAATTCCTTTGATATTTTTGATGACTGGTCCTGGTCAATGACAGGCTGCATGTTCTTCCCAGGAAAAAGCCTGGAGTAACTCTATGATCTGTTATAATCATAATTAGGCATGCGTTTCTAGTAAGTGAACATGCTCAGAGTGTTTTCTCTTCAAACTGTCAAAATACATACACCTTCTTTTGAAATAAATTGTGTTTTATTTCCTTTGTTTAAAGAAAACAAAACACATTTTGGTGATTCAAGCCTCCTCATTCAATGTTCTTACTGTGTCTTCCAATGATGATGCACAAACATACCTACCTTGCTCTCTCATGGTTCGTTTAGAAAGGTATTAAAACATATGCTATTCTTATTTTAAATTTCTATTTTAAAATTGAACTTTAGCATTCTGGCCACTTACTACATTTAGGTTTGGTATATATCTATCATTACATTAGTCCTTATACTGTATGTTGATCAACATTTTTCAAATCATCTGTTTTTCTTATAATTCCAAGAAAAAAATTAGTTTGTAACAATCACTCTTTATCTAACAACCAACATCTGAAAAAGTCAGATACAGCATATGTTCATTTCATATTTCAGAAATGTACAAAAATTATTATATTCTAGTATGTAATGACTCATACTGTGGATTTCCACAGTACCGCCTAATAACGTTTCTAGCTTGTCTGGTATAGAGACACCAGAAATATGTAAGACAGCCATATCTCGATTTAAATCCTGCAAAAAAATGTTCAGCTTCCAAAACCTTATTGTACCTGTTATACTTTATATTGTACATCTTCTGCATTCAGTACCAGCACAAAAATGTTATTTAGTTTATGATCTTATACCAACCAGATGTATTATCAAAGGCAACTTCCTAACAGATGGTATAGCTCAAGAGAATTAAGTGCATCCCTGAATTAATGGATTTTTTTAGGAACCATAGCAGATGCATAACATGAAAGATCATAAAAGAATGACAAGAAAATGAAATGTTAGTGGAAATGCCAGAATAGAGTCATCTGTCCCAACAGAAGAAGTTAGAAAGGTGTGTAAATTTCTTTAGTTTTATTTTGAAAAATGAGAAAAAACACACAGAAAAACAATGACATACTTTATCAAAGATAAAGAAAGCAAAAACAAAAGATGTAGATATTGTCAAACATTTATACTTTTCAGCGTTTAAAAAGTGTTCTCTTTCTCCTCAGGTTAAGACAGCTAAATAAGACAGAATTACTTTTGAGCATTTCTCTGAAAACAAAGATTCAGTGGAGGAAGATATTACTAGAAGGATGGGCATATGTCCATAAGGAAGACCAAATACCTTTGTGCTTGTCCCGCTTATGCTTTAGCTGTGCTGGATGGGGTCTTATTCTGGCTAGAGCCTGCTCTCGATGGTTCATAAAAATAGGACCAGGAAATACAAGGGGGCCTGAGGAGAAACATTTTGTACATGCATAGGAAAGCTCACAAAATGGAAACAGTGTGATCAACAAAAAAAAATTTAAACTTAAAAGCATGAGAAAATGAATCTTCATAATTACATATTGAACTTAAAAGTGCATGTCCCAACAACTCCTAGTAAAAAAACAAAACAAAACCCCTTAATTTCATTTAAGATGATACCAAAATACTATTTACTGACTCTCTAAAATAATATTTAAAGAGTCAGTACATTTCTCACATAAAAGACAGATTTTGCCTTGATTTTTACGAAAGTGACTAACTAAAGACAATTGAACAATAGGGAACCCCAGGTGGAACAGAATTTCCACCTAGGAAATGCTTAATATTTTCTTTGAAAGTAGATGACAGATCATGTTACATTCTATACCACTATGCTGTAAGAAGTACTAGTTTGTCACAACATGTATATATCACTGTCAATGCAAAAAGCAGGAAGTTACATGGTTGGTAAAGTTCCCTATACTGGAAATTCAGAATAAATACATACAGAAAAATCAATGAACATTCACTAGGAGGAGACAGTTATTTAAACTATTTAATTCTGGTGGCCTATTTTAGAATTAAAAGGGAACAATTTAAACAAATCATGAAAAAGAGCTGCCTCATGGATGTGCCCTGCCCACACCTACATAGAACTTATTTACACTTGAAAAAGTTATTTGCAAGACCCCAAGCTACCGTTTTGGGCTAGACAATCTCCACAAAAATGTGACAAATGTTAAGTACCTTGTAGATGCTCTAAGCAAACATTTGGAAACCAGTGCTTCTAGTTCATTTACATTCTATTTTTCTTCATGTACTCTTTGTAAATCAGGAAGTTCAAGTGAAAGGCCTTGTGAAGGGTCTCATTCTTATCCCACTGAAATTAATACTTACTTCAAGAGGGAAAAAAACCCCAACATCTGTGTTTAAAGTCTACTATATATTTTTCTCTCTGTTCTTGAGCTTCTTGAATCCACCATATATGAACACTTTGTTCATACAATGTTCCATATTCCAGTGTTTTTAAGTTCAGGTGGACACATCTGCAGTCCCCATTTTCTGATCAATCCCAGCAATTTTCACCAAGGTTACTGAAGAAATGACTGATGAGGCCTCTATTTCACTCATCCACCACAACAGGTTATCACAGTTATATCTGTTTTTCTTCTAAGTCTCTCCCTCAAACTGTGGAAACCCTGAACTCCCTATTTTTCTCCTAACCTCTTCCTAAAAAGTTTCTGTGGCAATTCCCTATTCCCTGTTCTGAGGTCTGTCTCGGCTCTCTTTATACCAAGCAGCCACTCCCACTATTTTACTTTCAAGTCACATTCTCTACACCAGGTATTCATTTGCAGACCCTGAAAAAATTTCAAATGGAAGTGCTGACCCCTTTGAATTGTAAGTGTGGGTATTCCCATACGTTTCATCATAGTCATCTTTTGAGGACCCCGTAGACACAATCTGCAAACCCCCAGGTGTCCATGGACCACAGGTTGAAAACCACTGCTCTCCACCAATGACGTGAGAATGTTTTTCCTCACCAAACCATTTGCTTTCTATTCAGACTCCTACCAGACATCTCAGAAAGTGGAACCTTTCCCCTCAACCTGCCAAATCCTCCTTTACATCTTCTAAAATTCTACCATTTTCCTAGTCCAATTCCTCTCCCTTTCTCTTCATAGGCAACTTTTATCACGTCAGATACCTGAGTGGAACAAACACAAGCAAAGGCTGGGAGCAGATAATAGATATTAATAAGGCAAAGGAACTAGAGACTAGAAAAGGAAGAGGAAGGATGAAGAAGCAGAATGGTGGGGTAAAGGGACAGGAGGACTGGGAGAGATCAGAAGGAGGAGGAAAAGCAAAGTGTGATTTAAAGGACAAGACTAGACCTGTATGAGGAAGGTAGAAGAAAACCTTGAAAAAGTCAAGAGCGCAACTACACAGGAGATGAGAATAAGGACAAGAAACAGTTTGAGGGAATACTTAGGTGTGAACAAGGAAGAGACTCCACAACTCCTAAAGCATATTCCCCATTCCAGATCCTGAAAAGATTCCCAAAATCCCAGTCTTCCCATTCCTCTGCTGTCTTATCCCTCTCATCTCAGTCCACAGAGGGATGAGAACCTATTTCTGTTGACAGTTATTTTGCATAGTTCAGGGAACTGCAACTTATACAAGAAAACTAATGGGTCTAACCCTGCTAAAAGCTCAGTGGATGCCATATGTCATCACAAAATAGTTTTTTTTTCCAGTTTGCTTTTTAGATATCTAGGAAGCTACACATAAATATATCAATGAAATAGAACTAAGCGTGTGAAGTCAAGCACTCAAAAGTCAGAAATGCCAGAAATCTGTAGATACTATTGACCTTAATTTTTCCGTCACAGTTCCCATATTTAAAAAGTAAACAGTTGCAGTACTTCAGCTTATAGGTGTTGGGAAAAGATCAAAAGTGTTGCAGAACCACACAAATCTTTATAGAAATGACTGCAACAGAAAAGTCAACAAGAAAATTAATCATTCTACGTTCAGAGTACTGAGTGATAATGTGCGGTAAGGTCTGAAGCAAGGGTAATAAAACAGAATTTTGTCAACTGCTCATTCAGTGAGCACCAGTTATTCTATACAGTGAATGAGGAAATAGTAGGAAAAGATAATGTATGATCATGTGTAACCAAAGATGGTATCACAATATAGGTAGTTAAATTTGCACAAGAAACCTTGGGCTCCTATACATGTGCAGGGAGCCTGCTCTGAGGCACTATAACTCCAGCGTGTTGGAGTAGACGAGACCGATCGAGTCTGCTGGAATGTGGAAGTTAACGCACTCCAGCAGGCACTTGGCTAATTTGTGGCTACTGTAAAGAGGTAGAGTTTACAGCACAACAGATTGTTACATTTCCCTAGCACTTGTTATAAGCACCAGTTTTCAAGAATTTATAACTTTGCAAAACTGAAAAAATTTCCATACGCAGTATCTGCTTCAGAAGGATTTTTATTTTGTTTTATTATGTAAAGTATCACAAAGACCTTCAGACATTTCAGAGAACAAAATTTTAAATACATTTTGTTTTGCCCATGTCTTGAAAAAACGCATCCAACTGAGATGTTGTAAGGCTTTCCACGATTTATAGCAAAGTCTTGAACTTGGGCAGAGGGACTGACATTGCATAGTCTTGCCTTTTTCTGTTCCTACAGAAAATCTCACACATCTGCCCAACATAAAATCATTTGAAAAAACTAAAGTTTAATAATTCTCTACTCTGACAAGTGCACTTTGAAAAAATCAGTTGTCAATATTCTATCTAAGCACATTCCACTCCACTCCATAAAGGCCGAGCACAATTTTCCCTGTAATACATGCTGCCTGCTCCTATAGGCTTCTGTGGTACTTTGTACTGGAAGAAAGAGCAGGCACTGTCTTTCTGTGTTCTCAATATTCTTACCCTGAAGACTCCCCAGTAGAACAGGAGAGGAAGCTTTCTGGTTCAAATGTGTAAAGAATGGAAGATGAAAAATAAATTAAGTCAAGGAGTATTTATAGTGGGGGGAGATGTTGAATTAAGTCTTGAACACTCCCTTGATTCTGTCTCTACCAAACCTCTCAATGGTTGAACAATAACATTTTAATATTTAACATCATTGTACATAGTGGGTGTATCCAGACGAGCATGGCTGTGGAGTATGTGATGCTGCAAACATGTCTACAGGGCCACATACCAAACAAGTTTGGTGTTCTCTGTGCTGCAAGGTGTGCTGCCTGAGCGTGTACTGTGCTGGACTTTTTCCCTCAGGTTTTTTTGACCCCAGTCAAAAAATCACCCCACAGGAAAAAAAAAAATAAAAAAAAGTGGAGCAACGCATGCTCGGCCTGTGTGCTCTGCTAAAAAGCAGAGCCGGGCCGCTTGGAGCGCCAGCCAGACTCCACATGGCAGAATCACCGCGGCTGCAGCCCCTGGAGGTCCCCAGGTAAGGCTGCTAGGTCCAGCCCAGTGCTGGTCCCAGCCTCCTCTACCCCACCTGGGACAACCTGCCATGCACCAAAGCTACTTGTCCCCGGGGAACCAAATGTCCAAGCATGTCTGGATGAGCCCTGTAGGTGAATTAGTTTATATGGTTTGTGAAGTAACTTAAAATAGCACACATTTGTCCTTCTTGGAAAATGTCTATGGCAAACTTGAAGTTTTAAAAGGTAACTGATTTATCTAAAAAAAAAAACAACCAACACTTTATTTTCATAGTTGAAGAATTCACATTTTATATTGGTTAATATGTATGAGGTTTCAATTAGAATTTACTTGGATAGCTTAGGGCATTGTGGGTGCCCTAGGGAAACAAGAGAGGAAAGGAAAAAAAACTCAGTTTTTTTTTAATCTGTTGTAGGATATATAATATTTATGTTGATTCTGTTTGACTTTAAATAAAAGGCACTTCACATGCTTAGGAAAAAGGAAACTTGTAGCTACTGAAAGCATTGAGATAAATATTTAAGTTATGCAATTGTAAAGTTACTTTCTCTCCAATGATTAATCAAACAATTATTAGTTTAAATAATTGGTTTTTACTACAGTAACAAACAATAGGTAACATCACTAGTAAACTGATGTAAAGGCAAAAGATTAAAACGACCAAATGGATGGCTGATTGAACAATACTTAAAACTGTTGCAACACAGCTACAGTTACTATGTGATTATTTTATTTAATGCTTTAATTTTTAGTAATTTTTCTTTAATACTTTTTTTCAGATACTAAGTACCAATTAATAGACTTGGAAGTATTAGTGCTAAATTAAATTTTCAGAAAATGAATTAATTACTAAGCAATTTATTGCATCACTTGCTTATACTTAAAAAAGCCATTAATTGCCCAATACAACCAAGGTCAGATAATACTGTGTCAACACTCAGCACATTTGGCAGAAAGCATAATGAAACCAATTTCCAAATTCTTCTCAGATAATGGCACTCATCACTAGGCT